GGGGGTCGGGGGGCCCGGGCGCTGCGGGCCAAGCCCACCCGCGCGGTCCGGCAGAGCCCTGAGAGTGAGGCCGCCATTTTAACCCTGATTTTGGCCTCAAAGGTGGGCGCTCCTGCGCTGCGGCCCCGCTTCTCTCTCTCTCCCCCTCCGGCCGGCTGTCGGCCTGCCCTCCGGCTGTCAGGCCCGGCCCGGCTGCTCTCCGGATTCCTGGGGGCGGGGGCGGGCTCGCCGGGGCTCCCGGCGGCTGGAGGGGTCGCGACTCCGGCGCGGAGGCCCGGGCGCCGGGGGTCTGAGGAGCTCACGCCCGCTCGCGCTGCCTTTGCCCTGAGCTCCCCAATTAACAGGCGCGCTCTAAAATTGGTTTGTGCTTTAAAGCCCTTGCTGAGAGCTCTTGGCGAGGGTCTTCACGGCCTGTAATAATAAAACCGTTAGGGGGAGATTAAGGAAATGGGAAAACTCTTAAAAATGCTTTCTCGCCGTAAAAGCATTTACACTAAACCCGTTAGTTTTGAAGTGTCTGCTTTTGAGCTGAGGCAATTACGTGGTAGCCGTGGGCGGTTTGGCGTTCACACTTGATTCTCTTTCCTTATGAGGAAAGGCACTAGCTAGAATGACTTTAAAGAAAAAAAATAGTAGAAGCATTAACTGAAATCCAAAAGTGTTAAGGCCTGGAGAGTTGACACAATACAGAAGGTATTTTTGCTGCTGTTCCTGAGGCTCTGACATCACGCGTTGAAATAGAAAGCATTTCAGGGATGGGACAGCTTGTGTTTGTCCCTTTGCTGTGCCGCCTATTTACTTAAGTCTCCAAACCCCTTTAGAAAGGATGAATGGGGCAGGATGAGTTAGATTCCATGAGTGCTACACACACACTGACATTTAAAATATGACAAACCTGATTGGATACTTGCAGAGTAGGATGCAATTTTTGATGTCCTGACTAAAGTGAAACCTCTCTAGGTGAATAGTTAATTTCGGCCAAAACTGGAATACTTGTTCTGAACTGCTGTTCTTTGTTTACTTTCAGGCTTCTGGAGTTACAGTGAATGATGAAGTCATCAAAGTTTTTAATGATATGAAAGTAAGGAAATCTTCTACACAAGAGGAGATCAAAAAAAGAAAGAAAGCAGTTCTCTTCTGTTTAAGCGATGACAAAAGACAAATAATTGTAGAGGAAGCAAAGCAGATCTTGGTGGGTGACATTGGTGATACTGTAGAGGACCCCTACACATCTTTTGTGAAGTTGCTACCTCTGAATGATTGCCGATATGCTTTGTACGATGCCACATACGAAACAAAAGAGTCTAAGAAAGAAGACCTAGTATTTATATTCTGGTGTGTAAAAACAAAAGAAAAAAGTACTTTTGAAATGCAAGGATTGTTATTAACAGTTAGTTTTATCTTTGTATGTCTTTTAAGTGGGATTTAAAATTTTCTTTTTCTCTCTAGGGCTCCTGAAAGTGCACCCTTAAAAAGCAAGATGATTTATGCTAGCTCTAAAGATGCCATTAAAAAGAAATTTACAGGTACAAACAGTGAATATTTTGTGAAGAATTACTCCTTCTGAATTATAGTAAGGCTCATCGTGTAACGTTTTGTGTTTCTCTTTAGGTATTAAACATGAGTGGCAAGTAAATGGCTTGGATGATATAAAGGACCGTTCCACACTTGGAGAGAAGTTGGGAGGCAATGTAGTCGTTTCACTTGAAGGAAAACCCTTATAAAATGACAGTCAAGTGCCATCTGGATCTTAAGGAGCTTTCCATTTCTCCCACTCAGTCATTTGGAATATTATTAGGTGTTTGTTTTTCCCTCTTTCCATTCAGTTCTTCCAACACAATGAATGAAGGAAATATCATTTATGTAAGCAACCTGTCAGTGATTGCCATTAGACTGTTTGCTACCACTACTTTTATGTAGAATCCAAGGAATGCCTTCCTGTCATATTTTAGCCAAAACAACTGGTTATATGCCTTCCATGCAGCGAGCACTACAACGAAATGTGATTGTCAATGTGAATAGCTTAGATTACTGCAATGGGTAAGCTAATTGAATGCCTTGAAAGTATTATCCACTGGTCAAATGGTAAACTTTATTCAGTATTATTTATAGTTGCACTTGATTGCGGTTCTGTGAGGCTCGAGCATTCATACACCTCACCTGCCTTGGCAAGCCTATTTTTTGTGACTTGGCAGCACGGATATAACACTATGCATTGAAAGCACTTTTTTGTAACGAGTTTAATGTCCCCACTCCCAAAAGGAATGCCAATTAAGTTTTGTTAAATATGTCAGTTTATTCTAGTACCTCAGTGTTCATTCCTGTTACCTGTGTATCTTAAAGGAAAATAGCTGTTATTAATACCTTTAATGTTTTCCATTGAGTGTACACTACTGAATAAGTGTAGGAATTTTATGTTTACCATGTAAGTCTTGCAACACTAAAGATATTTTGAATATCAGTCATGATGGCAATTTCTGTATAAAAGAGCCTTAAATGGAACATTGTTTTTGAGCTCAAACCCCACCCTTAAACAAATGGCCACGTTGCAATAAAAATTGTGGCATATTACAGAACGTTGCCTTGTTTTCCTTGCACATTTTGCAAAATGATATGTGAATACAACTCCTAGTGTAAACTGCTATTATTAATCTCTACACTGGTCATTTAAAAAAACTTTTTGTACAGCAGTAATCCGTAATATTTTCCAGTTTGCTAGGTTTATTTGATTTAAAAATATTTTACCCTAAAGCCAAGTATAAACACTACTGTTACAGATGCTTTTATAAGCATTAGCTTACTTCTTATGTGTTAATATTAAGGTAAGAAATTATTTTTTTTGCCCTTTGGCATAACTCTTCAATATTTGGTTTATTCTCTAGATAAATTAGGGTAGTTATTTCCTGAGTCATGTTTACATTTTTATGTAGTTGAATGGTAGAAGCAGTAGGCTCATACTGCATATTTGGTCATATTGAAAATTACTTTTAAAATTTGTCCCTCAAAAGTTTAACAATTCTCCTGTTTAGGAACTTTGATTTCAGCTACTATTTATTAATATAATTTGCAAATCGAAGGGAAAAAATAATTGATCCATCGGTCTTAAACGCTAATATGAAATTTGGCCGTGTTCCAGATTGTTCTCCTTATAGAGAACTTGATCTGCTCACTGTGAGCAGTTTGCTGTTAGCCAGAGCTATTTATGGCAAACACATGCTTTTGTATCTTGTCATGGTTATCCACAAATGGCAAAACTGGACTTGATTCTACTGGTATGCAAAACAGGCATGCTAGTAAGCAGGCAATCGTGATTTTAAACTTAACCCCATAGGTCTGAAGAATACTCCTATCAGTAAACAGGAAAAGTGTGTAAAAGTAATCTGATGATAATTAGATTTTCTCAGGCATTTTCAGATGGAAACAAAATTACATGAATAACTTGGGATCTTTTGCACTGAATAATTTTATTTCAGGCTTCCAGCTGTCACTGTGAGTTATCCTGGACATTTTGATGACTTTTTGGTAAGGCAGAACACCTAAGTAAAGCATGAGAATACTGACATGTACTAAAACATACATGTAATTGATACTATTACCGTGGAATATTTTTTATTTCCTTATCTGAAAAATAAGGGACTCTTAAGTTATAGTATATTTGTTTTCTTGGCTGATTTTTCAACTTTTGTAACATGCCTCTTTAATTCTATAATAATTTCAGAGATTATATTGTGCTTTAATCTGGTACTTTGTGTTCCTTAGCTTGATATAACTGATATTAATATAGTTCATTTTTGAAATACATCTTTGAACATAAAACCAAAAATAATGATAAAATCAGTGATACATTATTTGAGGCAAATTTGGCATTTGAAATTCAATTGGCAATTAAATTTTATAATTTATGATGAAACAATGTTCCAGTTAGCTTTATAAAGTTGATGGTGCTAATTAGTAAAATTTTAAGGACAATATTTGAAGCAATATGTTGCTGCTAGCTTGCAAAATTATGTTTTAAAAATAAATATATGAAACTATCAAGCTGTTGAGATGTGTTTACTTCAGAACATTAACAATTTAAAAATTACTGCAGCTCAGAAAGGCACCATTACTTTTAGTATATTTTTTAGGATTTTAGTTGATACCAACTAAAATTTGGAGATACCAATATTCTTTGAAAAATGAGAATTGCAGTTAATTTTAACATTTCCAGACAAATGGGGACAGTTGGCATTTGTCCCAAGCTGACTCTCAGCTGTTGTTTTCCATCATTATCTAAAATAATATGACCAGCATTGTGTATTTGACGTGCTTTTTAGTAGACTGGAAGAAAAGCCTCTTACAGGGTTTGAGTTTCTTTGATGTCTTTGGGGCACCTAATTTATGGAATCTTAACAAATGAGCTTGGGAAGAAACTTTAGGTGTTTTTTTGTTAAGGAATAGTATCAGGGCCCTCTCTGGTGGCGTAGCAGTTTGGAGCGCTGCACCGCGAAGCTAAGCTAAGGCAAGCCAGGCCAAGCCAGGCCAAGCCAAGCTGGATCTGCCTTAGTGCAAGTTCAGTTCCCCACCCTGGAGGTGACCACGTGGCGTGGCAGCCTCTCCCTGTCTCACCAGCTGCTCCTCTCAGCAGTGTACTTCCTCCATCTGCTTCCCACTCTGGTCTGGTGAATCCTCTTGCCACCCCTGCACCCCTGGCCTGTACCCCATTTCTTTTATGTATAAATAACATTTTTTTTAATCTTAAGAAAATAATAGTGATAAATCATGGGCTGGGAACTCTTCATTCAGCTCCCTACTATGAAAAAATAATCCAACTCTTCATAGGTCTTATTTGTGCTTGCAAATTAAATAACAGTAGCAGTCTAATACATGAATATTCATTTTCAATGAAAATTAAGACTTCTAGTGATGTGTTTCATCCAAAATATAAAAGTCATATTCAGTATCCAAAGAATATTGCTTTTCAGAGAGGCAGCATGAATTTATAGATGTTCTGTTTCAGCTCAGTGAGTAAAGAAGCTTAACGCTTTCTTTTGCTCTAGAACATCCAAATAATTTCCTTCATATAGAATTGGGAGTATCCCTCCAGTTCAATTTAATGACATAAAGCAGCTGGGCTAATTAATCTCTCGAGCTTCAGTTTTTTAATTCATAATATTAGAATAATACCTGCTTACCATGCTTGGTTGCTGGATCAAATATAAAGTGCTTTTTGAAAAACAAAGTGCATGTAAATGTAATATAACTTGTTTAAACTTCTCCAAATACATGTAGTTATAAAGAACCAAGTTTAAAATAATATTAATTGTTCTTTGAACCTCTTAACTATTCTACTTAATATCAGCTTAAGGACTAATTGATTATAGCAATGTTTTTCAAAATGTAGTAAGTATAGTTTTCTTTTTGCATGTGATCAATCAGATACTAGTTTCTTTTCCAAATAATATCTTAAAAGATTTACTTAGTTATGCATACAAGAGATGGGGTACAGGGGGAGGTTGGTGAGAGGATTCACCAGAGACTTGAGTGTGGAGCAGATTAGGCAAATTGACTGAAATACACAGCTGAGGGGAGCAGTGGGCAAGACAGGAGAAGTCTGCTGTGCCATATTAGCTCCTTATGCCATGTCAAGGTTAGTACCCTGGCTGGGGATCCAACCAGTGCTGCAGTAGCTGCTGACAGCTTCATAGTGCTGACTTAACCCCTTGCACCACCAGGGAGGTCCTCCCCCAAAAAATTTTGAAATAAATAATAAAAGAGGAAATAGAGGAGTGCCGTTTCAGAATATTTGGCATAAATTTGTGATCCAGGTTATTGAAACTGAGTGTTTATTATTAATACCCTAAGTTCATGATTTTTAAGACTCAAGAAATGGTAGTTCTCCATCAGATAGTGTTCACTTGAAGTCCATCTGATATCTTTATGTCCCTTTAACCAGCTAGCTATATTTCTCTGGTACACCTGAGAAAACTGAAGTTGAAGATATTAAGAGACATCCCAGCTACTTGAGTTGTAAGGTTGGCTTAATATTTCACTCTATAATTATACTGTGAGTTATTAATTTCCTTTAAAAAAGAGATGAAGCAAAAGAAAAAAAAAGATGAAGCAGCCTGATTTTTTGAGCAAGACATAATTGCTAATTAGTATGTTTTTGGGTAGTATCAGAAATATTTGGAAAAGTCTTAGAATTTTTTTTCTAAGAAGCCAATGCTCATAAAAATCTAAAGTATTTTACATTTCAGAGATTTTCCTGGATGTTTTCATATTATAAATTTGTGGGACTGTGAAATATCAGAAAGATTCTATAGGCAATTTCCAGAAAACTGATAACCTCTAATCCTTTTCCTAAAAGTTGGTTATCTTCCTCTCCATTTCTCTACCCATCTTTTTTTTATTTTATTTTTTTTTTATTTATTTTTTTATTTTTTTAAAGATTTTTTTTTATTTTTTTTTTTAAAGATTTATTTATTTGTGCATACAGAACTGGGGTACAGGCCAGAGGCTCAGGAGCGGTGAGAGGCTTCACCAGAGACAGAGTGGGGAACAGAACAGGCAGATCGACGAAGTACACTGCTGAGGGGAGCAGCGGGCGGGTCAGGAGAGGTCTGCCACACCATGTGGTCACCTCCGGGGCAGGCGGGAATCGAACTCATGCGGAAGCGGCTTTAGATTCTCAGTGCTGTGCTTTAACCCACTGCGCCACCAGGGAGGGCCTCTACCCATCTTTTTTAAGGAGAGAAAGTATTTTGTACTGGAATGGCTAAACACTAATACTTTGGTATCAGACTGCCTGAGTTACTTGCATATAAGTCTTTAATATTAATTAAATGATTTTAGGAAAATCATTTAACTTCTCAGCTTTATTTAATCTATAAAAAGGGGATAACTTTGATTGTAAGGATAATTGAAAACTACTGGGATAGTTCCTTACAAATAGTACGCAGTTAGTAAGATGACCCTAAAATTTACAGTCCAAACCAGGACACTTTTTGAGAGTGAAAGGGAGAGCTATTAATAAATATGCCAGGACAACAAGCTTAAGCTGGGATAATCCCAAGCAAATCAAGAGATGTCACTATCAAGAAGTACAGATATATCAAAATGTAAGATTTAAATAGAAGAAACTATTGAAACCTGAGGTCTTCTTTAATTTGAATTATATAATGTACTAGCATGCTAACCTGAGAGACTCCTGATGAATATAATGTTAAGTAATAAGCCCTCTAGAAGGGTCAATTTGGTTTTGTTCCTCTTAGGGCTTTATCTACTTTCTTTTCTTGGCTTTTTATGCCAAAGAGCTTTCTTTTTTTTCTTTCTTGTGGATGCTCAGATAATGTATTTTGTGGTTATCAGTAAACTTTGGCTTTAGTAACTTCTCTTGTTACTTTTCATCTTGTGTATTTAGAAACCCATTTTTGTTAGAACTGTATATAAAGAGACTAGATCAGAGTTTAAGAGCAAAATGCCTGCATACATTAAACTATCTAACATTGCTTTTGGCTATTTGAAGAAATTTTGTGTACTTTGTAGGTTTGGCTTTATTTACAAATAAGGTGGTATGTAAGATAGCTGAACT